GACTCTCTGTGGTCATTAAAAATCCCAGGGTGTCTCTCGAAAAGAGGAGGGGTGTTACCATGGCGTCCTGGCAAAATTTCCCCCTGGCCTTTACCAATCACAGCCTCCTAATAATTCCCATCTCTGAACTGGCTTCATCACTCTGCTCTCCTCCCCACTGAGAGCTGATGTGTGGTGAGTGTACTGGCGCACTCTGGCTGCTGTCGCATCATCCAGGTGGGGCTTCACATTGATGGAGGAAAGTCCTTATTACCTGTAAAGCTCTCTGAGTAGAGTAGAGTATATAAGTGGAAGGAATTTATTATTAACAACCTAAGAAACATTATAAACGAGTAGAAGTCATTCAGCCCATCTGTCCTGTTTGGTGTTTTGTTTTTAAATCTCATCCAGCGGTTTCTTAAAAGAAGCCAGGGTGTATCAGTTCCATACTCCCACCACCCTTTGTGTAAAGTGGCCCTTGTTCTTTGTTTCAGATGTGCTTGCATGCACAATAGTTTCCACTACTCTACTCTACTTTCGTCCTCTGTTTCGTGTTTCACTGTGTCTTAAAATCATATGTCTTGAGTTTGTCATGGATTCACAGCAGTGCTGCTCCTAAGGCAGTACTGCTGAGAGCACTTGGATGTGGCCAAAGCACAGCTGTTTTCTTCAGAGTGCAGGGCCCTGAAAACATGGGATTTTCCAGAGGAGCCTCATTAAAAGGGCTGTGGAGCAGGGGGAGAGGCAGGGAGGCTGTGCTGAGCAGATGCAGTGGGATGAGAGTGTGCCTCTCCTTCTGATGTGGCCTTCCTTGGTGAGGGGAGTTTGGGCTGCACATTCTCCATGTCTTGATCACCCCAGCAGTCAGTCCCTAGGGTCCCCTCTCACTCACCATCACAGGAATGAGGGGCGTTGCCACTAATGCTTTGATGGAAGCACACTACGTCGAGCTCTTAAAATAGTTGCTGGTGACTTCATTTCCACGATCAATAAAATCTTCAGCAAAAAACTGGATTAAAGAAGCCACATGAAACTTTATGCCAGTGACCGCATGGCAGAGACCTAATAAGCAATACACTCAGAGTCATTTGGGCTTCTTGATTACAGCCCTTGACATTCTGTCATCAGTCTTTCTGGGATGCATTTGTTAGACTTATTTGTTTCCATTCCAGAAATGCAAATCTGGGCTAGATTAGCACTCCCTGGCAAGGTTGGTCACAGACACCTACTGAACAGCCTTGGAACTTTGCTGGTTTTCTGCTTTCTGAACGCTCCACTGTGTCTGATCAAAAGTGCAAGCTGACGTGATTGCTCACTGCCTCCAGTAGCTGTCCAGAGTGAACTCAGTGTCACAATAATCTATGTATTAATAACAGTCTACCGTGTTAGTCATGAGTTATTTTGCCTTGTGCAATACATGATTCATAAAACATTAAATATCTTGGAGTTCCTCTGTACTTGATATCTACAGTAAATACCATGAACTGAGTAATTTAAAAACATTGTAAATT